AAAAAAACACCTATCATTCTGCGCAAGTTCCTTCGGTTTTGTGATTCTGTTTCCATTGACGAGAACTTCTGCTCCCTAAATTGTTGAGATGTTTCAACAGCGTATACATTTACCGTCTAGCGTTCATTTTTTACTATTTGAAAAATTGATCATAAATCGGTTTTAATAAATCTATCATCAGAATACCCTATTTTCGGCGGCACGCTCGCTAGTTCTTTGCTCAAACACTCACCTCACAAACTTTCAATACCAATTTTTTATTCTTTGTATTCTGCACAATCGCATGCTGTGGTAAAATGGATAGACCATTCAGCTGTACCATTGGTGCAGGTTCTGCAGTTTTGTTTCCTGAAATTTTTCACATCATTTGCCTCTCTGAGTGAGCATTACCGAGAGGGTTTCAACAACAAGGGTTTCCACCAAAACTCTTTACCTATAGTCACTTCTCCCGGTGGTAGAAAGTGAACGATGACGTCTGTGAGCGCTGGATCCTCGTTTAGATTCCATAAATGAGGAGTTTCTTGTTTTTGCTTCATGATAGCTAAGCGCTCAGCTGAGGCATTATGCTAAAATGGAGCAATTTTTGGTTAGAACACGAATGACAAGACTTATGCATAAATTGTAATTAGTCTATCTTCTATCAAGCTTTGAGCTACCTTTGCAGCCTCCTCGGCCACTTTCTCTTGCCAAGTTTTTTCCAGCTCCGCCATCTCTTTTTGATTTTGTTCCAGCTGACGTCGTAATGATTCGATTTCTTCCTGCAATGATTCTTTGGTTTTATGAAATCAAGAAGTCTTATTCCATAACCATAAATTTTTCATACACTGTCACCACCGCCGCCAGCGCCTCCTCCAGCCTTCAACTGCTTCTGTAATCGTTCGTTTTCTTCTCTTAATTCCCTCATAACACGTTCCGTCTGATTCTCGTTGACAACAGCGTTTGTTTTGATGGATTTGGCACGATCAGCGAATCTGAGGAGAGAAAAATTATTTTTGCTCTTCTTTAGCTCACTTACAGGTAAAAAATTGAATTCTATATTCTTGGAATTTTAGTCAATCAGTTTTACCCCATAAGATTCGTTGCCTTCTTCGACTGGTAATATGTCATAAGCTTTTTTCTAGGTGATGCAGTTAGCAAAAATTCACTATACCTGAGCGTTGACAGTGTTTCATCGTAATTTATATCAGCTGGTGATATTGCAGCTATCTGAAAAAGAGAGAGGTGATATTTAATTCAGAGTATTTGCACGTGGTAGAAATCGCGGAATTTGGCAACTACTTTCACCAAAATTATGGTTTTCTATCACTTCTCATTTTTCTTTTCGATTGATTGTATATGAGGGCCTTAGACTATTTGAAGTTGAACTATTCTTGATCTGACCATTATTGTTTTGCTGTTTCCTCCAAGTGCATTTTTCAGCAGGCATGTGAGAACTGAATCGCGGTAGGGAATCTGAACAGGATCCGTTCCGGCTTACTAGTATTTTTTTTGAAAAATTAAGTAATTTCACCTGCACTTTCTTCCCTTTGCTGCCTTGTTGCTCATGCAAAGCTTTGATCACCCTTCCAAGTGTTGATAATGACTGATTAATGACGATTCCCTCCTTCATTCGATCTCCTTCCGTTCCTGCATCTCTTTGCCGTTCACTGCAAGATGAACAATCATTCATACATTT